TTATTCTCTCTCCCCTTTGACCTTTACTCTCCCACAACTCTCCCATATTATTATCTCTTTTCAAGTAAACACAATTTTCGTAGAAATTGGCATAGGCCTTAGATACCCCTCTTTTCTTTTTAATATTTTTTTTATCAGTTTATATCCTCTCCCAACCCAGGTTCTCGTTTGTAAGCTAATTTAACGATTAGTGAACAAACTTGTAGCAGTATATTCGACAATTAGACAAAGATACTTATTGGTTTTGCGAAAACAAATTAGAACAAGTATATTCTTTTTCTGACTACGAACATAGTATAGACGCTATCATTCAAATAAGGAATGAACAATTCCTATTTGAGATAACATCAGAAGAAGAAACATCTGAACAAAATAAAGAAATAATTGAAGAAAGTCCAGAAACAGATAATGACTTTTGAACAACAATTAACAACACTTTTAGAAGAAACAAGAGCCAAAATTACTCTGCAGGATACAGAAAAAAGTGACGAACTTGATCTAAATAATATTTCATTTGGAAGTTTATCTAAATTTCAAGAGATTAACCAAAGAATAAAAGATAATGATAAGTTAATCAACAAATTAAAAAAGATAATGGAATACAATCTTGATGCACCATGAAACAATTGAGAAGAAAATTCTTATTCAGGAAGAACGCAATACCAAGAGGTTGAATCCCAAACAGAAGAGGAAGAAAATGACCAACATTTTCAGCGATCAAGTTTCTATAAGGAAGCAATGTGAGGAAGCCAATTACCAGATCCAGAATTAATGGATGGATCTTCTAAAGGAAATACAGGAAAACAACCATATTCGTATAATAGAGCACCTTCAAAAGATAATAATAATATAACTGAAATGAAGAAGAAAATGCTCCCGAAAAAGAACTTTCCCAGGAAGTTCTTAGACAAATACTAGATAAAAATAAACAAAAATCTGACTAAGAAGAAAATTCAAAAAAGAATGATAAAAAGAATGACAAAAATTTAAAAAAATTATCATCAAACTCAGAATCAAATTCATCTGATACAGATAAACCAAGAAAATTCATCATCCTCAAATTTTCAAAGAATATATTAGCACATATCACATATATCATAAAGAAACATAAGATTCCATTATTTTATGGAAATGATGATGAAGAAGACCCAACCGAATGGTTACAAGACTTAGAAAAAACTAAAAACTATTATTAAAGATAAATAACATATATTCATATTGTAATGAGCTAAAATGATATTCAATAACTTCACTAAGTTTTATATATTTATTTAGAACTTCAAAAATTATTATACAATTAATAAGTTTATTAAGTAATTATTTTTCAAGTTAATAATAATAATTTATTATAAGCAATCTATTTTTCAAAATTAAAAATTAAATATAACTTTACAAGTTATCTATAGTTTCTATCAAACAAAAAATTTCTTGAGTTATTAACTACTTTTTCTAAATTAAGATATATAATATATTTATATAAATTATATATTGTTACAAGTTTGTTCACTAATCATGAAATTAGCTTATAAACAAGAATCTGAGTTGGGAAAGAATATAAACTGATAAAGAAAATATTAAGAGAAAAGAGGAATATTTAAGACCTATGTCAATTTTTACGGAAATTGTATTTACTTGAAAGAGAATAATAATATGAAAAAATTATGGGAGAGTAAAAGCTAAAGAGGAGAGAGAATAAAGAAATAATAAAGAAAATTCAAAGAAGAATTTTATACTTGTGTAAAGTTTTCTAGAACTAAGATAATATAATTAGTAATAACAATAACAAAGACTTTTTCACTTTGTTCTTTTTACAAGTGAGGAATATTTGTTAATAATTAAAAATTCAAATAACAAAAAATAAAATACTTATAAATCCAATTTCAATAATTCTAATATAGCAATTTGTTTAGCACAATATGATATAAAGCTCAATAATTCAATAATAGTGATTTGTTCAACACAATACAATATAAAGTTCAAAGTTAATAACAGCAATTTGCTCAGTGCAATACAATATAAAGCTGTTAGTAATTTAATAGATTCAATACAAAATAAGATCATTTATACACAAGATTTGAAATATATAAAGAAAATATGAAAGATGAGAAATATTTGGAAGAAGATTTTTGTTAAGAGAAATTTTTATTTTCAATTACAACATATCAAGTTAAGATTCAAATAGCACCTCTATTTATATATTTTTCAAAATTACAAAAAGTGAAATAAATAATTATAAAAATATATAAAAGTAAAACAACTAATTATAAAAAGTGAAATAATTTATATAAAAGTGAAAAGTAAAAAGTGAAATAACTAATTATAAAAAGTAAAATAACTTATATAAAAGTGAAAAGTGAAATAATAAAAATGAAAAAATGAAAAGTGAAATAACTAAAAGTCAAAAATAAAAATAAAAAATAAAAAGTGAAATAATTAAAAGTAAAAAATAAAAGTAAAATAATAAAAAGTGAAATGATAAAAAGTAAAATAATATTAAGAGATTTTATCATTATATGAATATTTTTAGAATTTTCATATTTTTCGATTATTTTTGAATTTGTGAATTTTATATTACTTTTTTAACAATATTATATAATATAATTAGTTTTATTATTATTATTACTAATTTAATTAAATATAAGTATTATTAGTATTTCTAATGTTAATACAAGTATTAATATTATTATTGTTATTAACACAAGTATTATTAGTATTACTAATATTATTGGCATTGTTGACATTATTAGCATTGTTATCATTTTTATAGATATTAAGTTTTGATATATTAACACGTATTTTATTAATATGAGAGTAAAAAAGATTAAGTTTTGTAGTGGGAGAGACTAAAATTTATTACTAAAGATAAATAACATGTGTTTTTGTTGTGATGAACTAGAATGACATCCAATAACTTCACTAAGATTATGTATTATTTTAGAACTTCAAAAATTATGATACAAGTAATAAGTTTATTAAGTGACTATTTTTCAAGTCAATAATAATAGTTTATTATAAGTGATATTATGATCAGATTTCTGGTAGATGATATTATGACATAGGTATTCAACCAATGTCTAATAATAATAATTTTATAATTACTCAATCTTAATATAATTGGTGTACTTCAAAATCACTATATCAGAAAATTTTTGAGGGCGCAGTTTTACGTAAATCTTCAGGTCCAAAAATCTGTGCAAAATTTCGAATCTGATGACAATTGGTAAAGAAAATTTTTTAAAAAATTTGCACAGATCTGCAACAAAATGTAGGTCTGTGCAGATTTTTTTTAAAACTTCTCAATGTTAGTTTCAAGTAGCAGTAGTAATTTCAAGCAGCAGTAGCAGTAGCAATTTCAAGTAACAGTAGAATTCATAGATTAAACAATAGTAAAAAATATTTATTTTATTGTAAAGTATATATATATATAATAAAATATAAATTTAAAGAAAACTATATTATATATATTTGTGATCCAAGTTAGCAATCTTTTGAATAAAAAATTAATTTTTTTACAAAACTTCAAAGAAACAAATTGCAAAAAGTATTAAAGAAACTTACAAAATTGTCATAGTCATTATTATCATCATTATCTTCTTCTTCAATTATATCCTTAGCTTGAGACTTTTGGCATTTTTTCTTTGCCGCTTGCTTTGTCTCTTTGATTTCTTTTTCTGCTATCTTTGCTATCATTTCTGATATTGCTGACTGGTTGTTTTTCACAGCTCACTAAATATCCAATATATAAATAATTTTTAATGCAAATTTAAGCAATTCAAAGTATTACTTATCATAAATGCGTGAACACGTCTCGCTATTGACTTATCTTTGTATTTTATTCCTGGACTTGACAGACTGAGAAGAATGTCACAGATAGTTAGAATAAATACGCAATGCATCATCAGTAATACTTTCTTCTTATATTATTTAAATATCAGGTAACTGATGTTTGTGAGCAATTTATCATTGTAAAAGAGATTTTCATATGCATTTCAAGTTTTTTCACTTTTCTTTCATTTAGCGAGATGAATAGAATAAGTGTTGTTATCGATCCTTATTAACTTCTCTTCACTGAACATTGAAAAGACAGCATTTTGAATAGTGAAAATATAGTCATTGCATTTACTGTGGCATTTTGTCCTTATCTAAAATTATCAAACAAAAATAATTAGTGAAAATCTACAGATTTATAGAACCTGATGATTATATTTCTCTGTAAATGTAAATATTCACATATTATAATACACACTATTAATATAACCTTCAGCATTTTCTGCCAAATATTTCTTTAGCATTTGTTGATATTTCTTGGAGGTTGGAAAAAGGATCATAGAGATTAATTCCTTGACTATCTCCTTGTATGCTTGCTGTATAGAAAAAAGAACTTAGTAAATCTTGCAGATTGATTTTTGACTTTGAAAGTAATTAAAGATAAATACCTTTCAGAATTTTTCAGATAGTTCATCGGTGATGACTAACTTTTTAATTAATTTGGTTTGTTCTTGTATTTGATTACCCAAAAATTGACAAAGACAGTATAAATTATTAATTTTATTGTTTATAATGTTTATTATATACTCAAATTCTTCAAAGATCAGAGATCTTTCATTATTTGATACTTGATTGAGTGAAAATAGAAATTGTATTGGTGATAAAGAATGCCAAATATTATTAATCTTCATCATTTTATCATTAATCGATGAATAATTAGATGGAGCCAATTGATAGAAAAAAGAATAAGATGGCGAAAGAAAAGAAATCATGATAAGATCTATGATTTCTTTATGCTTGCCTTTATATGTAATAGAAAAAATATTCATTTATAATATTTTTATATAATTTTTTGCAGATATCAGTTACTAATCTGGTGAAGGTGAAATAGTGGGTGAAGTAACAGATAAAATAGCAGATGAAGCAGCAGACGAAATAGCAGGTGAAACAACAGATGAAGTAACAGGTGAAACAACAGACAAAAAAACAAATGGCATAGATGAAGCAGTAGATATAGAAGAAGATGAAGTTAATTGTTAGAATTTTGGTCCTATTAAAGTAAGATTAAGAAATTTAATTAAGAAATTCTTATAATCTTTGTAGTTGCAAAAAAACTTTAAAAGATCTTGCTCACTTTTCGTGATCATATGACTGAATAGATCTTTTATTTGGTTAGAAGTCTGCATTTTTAGTTGTTCTGTGTTGAATGACATTATATCAGTTGATTTTGAAGAATCACCTTTGGAGAATTTTTTAGGTTATCTTGATAATTTGTGAAAATAGTTGAACATAATTATTAAAAGGAATGTAATAATAAATAAAAAAGGAATATAGTAGTGAATAAAAAAAGAAATGAGTGAATAAAAAAGAAATATAGTAATGAATGAAGTAATACAAAAATAGAGAAGCGACCTGTTATTTATATAATAGGTTGCTATATCTATCATATTTTATCAAATTGTAAAAAAATCTGTGCCATACTTTATTTGTTCTCTATCAATATTAAAAATCTGTACCATACTTTATTTGTTCTCTATCAATATTATAATATTAGCCATTATCTATGTAATTTTAATAAATTATCAGTATTTGTTATATAAAAAAAACTGTTATACTTCTTTTACTTATTGATGATAATAATATTTTTAAAATACAGAAAACCTTTCTAAGTGCATCATAAGAGATCTAGAAGTCAGTCTTTGAAATTTATTTAGGAAGGTCTCTATAAATCAAAGTTTTATTCCTCTTTAAAACAATGACAATTAATATATAAAATAAATTTACTTAACTTCTGACATAAAAATTCATTATTCAATGACTAAATATCATTGTAAAATTTACAAAAGATATTTTACAACTTTCAGTGGATTGACACAGCATACCAATACAGTATATCATGAAAGAAGAACTGTTTCTCAACCAACAGATTA